TAGCTGGCGTCGTTCAGGTACAGTTTGGTAGATTGTTCAACATAGACTGTAGCGGCGTGTCGTACTCACTTAACCTGGAACTGTTGAAGGGAGTTAAGCACCTCAAGAAGTGAGTTGGTTTAAGGAGAAGCAGACACTTAGCGGGGAGGTAGAAGACGCCGTGATCCTTCAGGTTCATCTCTCCCTCCGTCGGGGGCTTCTATAGTCTCATCGTCTAAAATCCAATACTTTGAGTTCATTTGTAAAATTGTCCGAGATTTCCCCAACCCACAAGGTAGAGGAGGAGGGTGGCGAGGGAGATCTGTGCTGAAGATAATTACATGTTTTCTGAGGAACAGCTCACGCCCACCACTATAACAAGATCTGGGGAGGGGGGTGTTGTCACTGCTTCAATAACTCCATCTTGTTTAGGTTGTAATTTGACTGAGAGTTTTTCCTCCGTAAAAATGGTGATGTAAGGTTCCTACTGCCTGAGTCTCCTCTTCATTGTCTTAGAACCACGAACCGGAGTTGTCTTGGCGTCAGATTGGGGGGGCACTGACTCCTGACATGGTTGCCCTGACAACAAGGCAGCTGAGAGTGTTGTCAGCGACGATGGACTGACCCATGATTGTAGTGTTCTGCATTACCCGTAGATGCTCTCTTGATTCTTGATAAAGTTTCTCTCTCTCTCCAGTAGTTCCATTAACAACACTCGGAAAGAATGACCAGAAGAATCAATATGGTGGGAACTTCAGAAGATAAACATGGATGAGTCAAATGAGCTCCCACGACCTTCCAGGATTCTCGCTTGATTTTATTTGTGTTACGGAGAAACTTAAATTACTTTTTGTGATTAACATTACTGTCTGAGCGCTGTTTTCTGTCTCAGGTGGTGAGGTAGAGTAACACGGTGGGGTAGGATTAGAGTGAATGTTTACTGTTTATTCCGTAAGTAAAGGTTTGTTTTAGACGATTGAAGGTGATATTATGTGTCTAAATGATTTAATGATAGAGGTATATGATGAACTTCCACGACCATTAACACACACACACACACACAAAGTGCGTTAGAGCGGAGAAAGTTGTAGCAGAGTGTGTGACAACGAGTAAGAGCGCCTACTAGAGTGTAAAGTACATAGAGAGAGAGAGAGACGTAACTGAACTCCTGACCTTTGTCGATTAAAGAGACAGAGAGAAAGAATATCGGCGGCTTGGGCACAGAATCGTGGGTGAGGTCGTGGGTGATGTCGCGGGCGTGGTGAGGACGGCGTAGGTGTGATGAAGTCGTCGGCGTGGCGTGCGTGAAGGCGTGGTGAGGGTGTGGGCGCGGTTGATGGCGTAGATGTGGCGTGGACGTGGCGTGGGTGAGGGTGTGGATGCTGCGTGGGTGAGGGTGTGGACGTGGCGTGGGTGAGGGTGTGGATGTGGCGGGGGTGAGGGTGTGGACATGGCGTGGGTGAGGGCGTTGGCACTTTTTTCTATACTACGATTGAGTGAACGTAAGTCATTGGGTCCTTATTCCAGCCTTCTTGTTTACTCTCTCTCTCTCTCTGTGACGACCAAATTCTTAATCAGAAAGGTGTCGACAACACAGAACCTTCCATATCCTGCTTCCACCACCTCCTGACTCTGATGGTGCGTCTTTATAGTGGCGTTTTGGTGCTTATAGTGGCGTTATGGTGCTTATAGTGGTGTTATAGTGCTTATAGTGGCGCTTCTCTATAGTAGTTTTATAGTGCTGCTTTACTATGGTGGCGTTATGATGATTTTATGGTGCCTTACTATGGTGATGCTATGGTGCTTTACTATGGTAACGCTATGGTGGTGTTATGGTGCCAATACACAATATACCTTTAAATCATCATTATAATGTTACAATGACCTAATATAGTGCCAATACTTTAACTATAACTCAACATTATAGTGTCACAGTGACCTAATACAGCACCATTACACCATACTGCACTGTACAATATATACATAAATCAGTATTATAAACTTACCCTGTGTCATAATAATTAATACAAACTGTTGTATTTCTCGGCGTGAATTAGATTACTTGGCAATTTGTCCTCGGCTGAATAAGGTTGTACCCCCCTTGGCTATACTGGGTGTTTTCTGTATAATGAACTGTATTTTTTTTAGAGGGGTGTGAAGGGATAATCATACAGTCATATAGTCAATTTACTTATGTATACTGAAGTTAGGTTATGTATGTATACTGTAGTTAGCTTATGTCTGTACACTGTATTCAGTTTATTTGTGTATTGTGTATATTGTAGTCAGCTTACCTCTGTATACTATTGTAAGTTTAATGTTATACTGAATCAGCTTGAATCAGCTTACTTGTGTATACTGTAGTCAACTTAACTGTGTATACTGTAGTAAGCTTAATCGTATACTGAATCAGCTTAATTGTGTATACTGTAGTCATCTTACCTGTGTCTACGTTAGTCAGCTTATGCTTATCCCCAGTTAGGTTAAGTTAGGTTAAGTTAAGTTAACTGAGCATTTACGAACAGTTTGTGTGAATCGTGATGCCTTTTTGTAGATTTTAACTACGAATCTACGAACAGTGCGAAGGTCCAGACAGGTTATTGACTTTTTGTAGACGATTTTAACTACGAATCTACGAACAGTGCGAGGGTCCACAGATTTAATAACCTTCTGTAGACGATTTTAACTACGAAACTACGAACAGTGTGAGAATCAAGATAAGTAATTGGAGAGACAGGTAAAGTAACACAGAGGAAACAGCTTTTGATCAGGTGAGCTGCCTTGTCATGAGGAAGTTGATTAGACAGCTGGGAAAAAACAATTACATCACTAAGATACCTTGCAGTGAGGTAGTAATTAGCGGAGGATGGGATGTGGCGGGGAAAGGAGGGTAGGGTGTGGTGGGGTGGAAAGGGGAGGGGGTGGGAAGGGTGTTGTGGTGGGGTGGGAAGGATGTTGTGGGGTAGGGGAGAGTGTGGGGAGGAGAGGGTGTGGTGGGGAGGGAGGAGAGGAGAAGAGGTTTGAGAGTGGAGGAGAGGAAAGGAAAAGTGTGTGGTGGGAAGGAGGGGAGAAGAACGGGGTGACTATGGTAGAAAGAGTAAGAATTATTGAGATTAATATAACGGTGTTTAACATTTCCTTGTTAAAAAAAAATAATAATAATATTTGAACTTTTGAAGTATAAAGGAAAAAAAAACTGGCCCCAAAATTCTAATACCACTAATATATTCTTCCTCAGATCATCTCAATGCTCAAGAACCATTTCGCTAAACAAACTCTAATGTGTTTTAGCCCATTTAACTTTTTTTACGATGTCATTACACTTAAGAGTTAGTAGTAGTAGTAATTCGTATTATAAGTGAATTAAAGGCATCTGGAGACCTGTTATTGGATAGTCAACGCCTGCTGGGTGCTGGTGTATGGCTGTGAGTCGTGGCGCTCCTACTGGGTTATGACTCGTGGATGTAACTTAAATTAGGGAAGAAGAAGAGAAGGTGTTTTTATCCTTATCATCTGTTAATCACCAGCTATTGGGTTACCCCTCCCCCCCGGTATTATCCAGGATTATTCAGTTCAGGATTATTCAGTATTATCCAGGATTATTCAGTCTTATCCAGGATTATTCAGTATTACTCAGGATTATTCAGTATTACTCAGGATTATTCAGTATTACTCAGAATTATTCAGTAATATCCAGGATTATTCAGTATTACTCAGAATTATTCAGTAATATCCAGGATTATTCAGTATTACTCAGAATTATTCAGTATTATCCAGGATTATTCAGTATTATCCAGGATTATTCAGTATTACTCAGAATTATTCAGTATTCAAGATTATTCAGTATTATCCAGGATTATTTACTATTATTCAGGATTATTCAGGATTATTCAGTATTATCCAGGATTATTCAGTATTATCCAGTATTATTCAGTATTATCCAACATTATTCAGTATTATCCAGGATTATTCAGTATTGTTCAGTATTTTTCGGTATTATCCAATATTATTCAGTATTATCCAGGATTATTCAGTATTATCCAGTCAGTATTATCCAGGTTTATTCAGTCTTATCCAGGATTTTTCAGTATTATCCAGGATTATTCAGGGTTATTTAGGATTATTCAGTATTATCCAGGATTATACAGTATTATTCAGTATTATCCAGGATTATACAGTATTACTCTGAATTATCCAGGATTATTCGGGATTAGTTGACCTTAAGGGAGGATGATTGGTAAAGGTGTGGACAGGTGATAATCCCAGGTGTGGTCGACTTGCTTTACTCACACACACACACACACACACACACACACACACACACACACACGCATAAATAGTTTTTATCTCCAATTGTTAATCAGTATTTATGAATTCGTATTAAATCTGAATAAATAAATAAATTAATAAAACATCACAAAATCATAATAAAAATAAGTAAAAAAGAAATCATTCTCGAAAGGTAAAGTAACAAATAAAATGCACTAATTGGTCGACTGTCATGCAGGTTATGTCAAGAAGGACTCTGATTGGCTTATTCCCATGACGTCATTGCCAGGAAAAATTTGATTGGTCGATTCATGTTGTTGTCAAAAACGAATCTTTTGATTTTAGCTTTAAGAAATTAATGAGGTTGTCTTTATCAGTGGGTTACTCTGTACAGCGTAAGATAAGAATTGATGTCGTGTTCGGTAAAGAATAAGAGCCAATGAGAAGAAAAGAACATTGACGTCACGAGACTAAGAACCAGTAAAAGGCCAGAAATGTTGACGTCATTAACCTAAGAACCAATAAAAGGCCAGAAATTTTGCTGTCACGAGGCTAAGAACCAATAAAGGGTCAGAAGGGTTGACGTCACGAGCCTAAGAACCAATAAAATGCCAGCCAGACGCACTTTCCCAACATACTTATATTGGCGGACTTCCCAGACTCATTCACCGAACGCACTAATATAATTGACCCACACCCCAGATGATACACTTACCCAAACACACTCTTCTTAACGCACTTGTTTGTCTCAGTGCCTCCCAAGATCGTGGACGCGGACACAAGTAGTGACGTGGAGGTGAAGGAGGGTGAACGAGTCCTTCTACACTGCGGGGCTAGCGGGAAGCCTGACCCGTCTTATAAGTGGCGACGTGAAGACTCCAGCCTCATCCACACCTCGGGCAAGACAGGTGGGCACGCTCTCTCTCTCTCTCTCTCTCTCTCTCGATCTGTTCTCGTTACCATCGCTCTTATATTTCATCAGTTTATTTATCCACGTAATTTCACACACACACACACACACACACACACACACACACACACACACACACACACCTCTACATAACCTGTCACTCGTCGCCAGAGTTGATGGTGGTGGGGAGAGAGCTGGTGATCCCTAAGGCGCTGAAGGAACACGCCGGAGCCTACCTGTGTATCGCCACCAATGGGGTTCCTCCGTCAGTAAGCAAGAGGATCCTCCTAACTGTTCGATGTGAGTAAAATCGGAGTGATTCGGTGAGTGATTCGGTGAGGGATTCGGTGAGTGATTCGACGAGGGATTCGGTGAGTGATGCGATGAGTTGTGGGTCTTTTTTACGTAGAATTGATGTATTTAACGTTGTATCCCTTTTTCTTTTGTTATTCCTCCTCCTCCTCCTCGTCTTATTCTTCCTCCTCCTCGTAGACATTCTCCTTTTCCTCCTCTTCCTCCTTCTCTTCCTCCTCCTTCCTCCTCCTCCCTCCTCGCACGATCCAATTGTTTTTTTAAGTTCTCGGTTTTCAAAAGAACCAGAACGTGAATTAATAAATGCACAGAGACACATCATGCCCCTGTATATACTCTCTCTCTCTCTCTCTTAACACCCTCCTCCTCCTCCTCCCATGGTACAGTCCGGCCCCTGATCCAGGCTTCAGCATCAGAGGTGTGGGTGAACCTCGGCTCCTGCGTCAACCTGTCGTGTGTGGTGGATGCTTTCCCCGAGCCCAATATGGTGTGGTTAAAGGACTTGGGGGAGCCTATCACCACCGCCCATCGTTCTGATTATCACCTCCATGATTCTTCAGCCACTCAGGTCAGATGGTTACTTATTTATTTATTTATTTATTTATTTATTTACTGCGCTTGGGGGGGAAGGGGGAAGGCATTGCTCTTGGGGGACATTGCTCTTGGGGGACATTGCGCTTGGGAGGGATAATGCGTTTGGGAGGATGACATTGCGCTAGGGGGGGGACATTGCGCTTTTGGGGGGGGGTTCTTGCGCTTGGGGGATAACTGTAGGGATGTTAGTTGTTGGAGTTGGGGGAATAAGTGTATGATGGGGGAACTGATGTGTACTGGGGGTATATATGTGTGTGTATGTATGTATGTATGTGTGTGTGTGCACGCTCATAAACGTACATAAGAAGACAGATGAAGACTAATCAAAATGGGTGAGATACTTAAGAGAGAGAGAAAAAGACAGCAGCCAAGAGATGAAGAAGAAGGTTGTTGACAGATACAAGCCAATTAACAGGTGAATTGGACCGGACATACACCTTTACCTTGAGCAAAACTTGACTTCAGTCACTCACATAATACCATCTTGCGTCTTTGTTATCTGGTGTTGTGGTGTAATGTCGTAATTTATCATTATTTTTCCCTTATCTTAGTACACTATCTCTACTAACTCCTTCACTACTGGATGAAATAATTGGTATTTTATTGGGTGAACGTAAGATGGTTTTATTTAAGGGGTTAAAATATTATTCACTTCAATGAATCTCCTCAAAGTACTGCATGTGTGTGTGTGTGTCTTGTATGGTAATTGATTTATTTAAGCTGGAGTGGTGATTCTTCAGGGGAAATAAGCTGGGGTGGTTAATCTTTAGAGGAAATAAGCTGGGGTGATTAATCTTTAGAGGAAATAAGCTGGGGTGATTAATCTTTAGAGGAAATAAGCTGGGGTGGTTAATCTTTAGAGGAAATAAGCTGGGGTGGTTAATTTTTAGAGGAAATAAGCTGGGGTGATTAATCTTTAGAGGAAATAAGCTGGGGTGGTTAATCTTTAGAGGAAATAAGCTGGGGTGGTTAATCTATATAGGAAATAAGCTGGGGTGGTTAATCTTTAGAGGAAATAAGCTGGGGTGGTTAATCTTTAGAGGAAATAAGCTGGAATGGTTAATCTTTAGAGGAAATAAACTGGGGTGGTTAATCTTTAGAGGAAATAAGCTGGGGTGGTTAATCTTTAGAGGAAATAAGCTGGGGTGGAGATTCTTCAGGTGATCCCTCGTTTGTCGTCTTTTTTACCTGTGTGATGGAGGAGAGGAGACAGGTGATGCGGGCTTGGGTGAGGAGACATCAGGAGAAGTGGTCCAGGGAGTTTAGGAGTCAGAGAAGGTCAAGATTATGGTGATTTAGCCAGAACATGATGTTAGGTTAGGTTAAGCTAGGTTAGGTTAGGTTAGGTTAGGTTAGGTTAGGTTATGTTAGGTTAGGTTATGTTAGGTTAGGTTAAGTTAGGTTAGGTTACATCTTATTAAATCTGTATTGAACACCTTAAACGTAACGTAATCTAACGCTAATATAACCTAACATAACTTGAACTAACCTAACATAACATAACAACCTTACGTAACCAAAAATGATTTAAACTAACTAAACACAACCTAACCTAAGCTAACCTAACCAAACCTAACTAAACATATACGTAACACTAATCTAAACTAATCACCACCACCACCACCACCACCACCACCACCACCACCACCACCACCACCACCACCACCACCACCACCACCACCACCATCATCATCATCGTCACAGGTACAGAAACACGTCACTGGGCTCCTGTACGTGAACTCGTCTCGGTGGATCATGACACTGACGGTGGAAGACGTCCATGAAGGGGACCTCCTCGGCTACCGGTGTCGAGCTAACAACAGTGAGGGCGTAGCTGAGGCCAGAGTGGTTATATACAGTAAGTTACAGTCTTATGGGGTACAGTAAGTTACAGCATTATGTGGTACAGTAAGTTACAGTCTTATGGGGTAAGCAGGCAATAGTCGGTGTGTACAGTAAGTTATGGGCTCCAAGTGGGGTACAGTGTTACAGTCTTATGGGGTACAGTAAGTCTTATGGGGTACAGTAAGTTACAGTCTATGTGGTACAGTAAGTTACAGTGGTACAGTGTTACAGTCTTATGGGGTACAGTAAGTTACAGCATTATGTGGTACAGTAAGTTACAGTCTTATGTGGTACAGTAAGTTACAGTCTTATGGGGTACAGTAAGTTACAGTCTCCTGGGGTACAGTAAGTTACAGTCTTATGGGGTACAGTAAGTTACAGCATTATGTGGTACAGTAAGTTACAGTCTTATGGGGTACAGTAAGTTACAGCATTATGTGGTACAGTAAGTTACAGTCTTATGTGGTACAGTAAGTTACAGTCTTATGGGGTACAGTAAGTTACAGTCTCCTGGGGTACAGTAAGTTACAGTCTTATGGGGTACAGTAAGTTACAGCATTATGTGGTACAGTAAGTTACAGTCTTATGTGGTACAGTAAGTTACAGTCTTATGGGGTACAGTAAGTTACAGTCTTATGTGGTACAGTAAGTTACAGTCTTATGGGGTACAGTAAGTAACAGTCTTATGGGGTACAGTAAGTTATAGTCTTATGTGGTACAGTAAGTTACAGTCTCCTAGGGTAAAGTATGTTACAGTCTCCTAGGGCACTTTCCGTCCACCTGTCTCCCTTACTGGTGGTTAGTGTACCGTCGAAAACCGTCAAGTACTGTCAGAAAATATTTAAGACTGGTGGGCCGTGGTCACCAACCCTCAGATATGACTTGTAGGAGAGAGGGGGAGGGAGAAGAAGAAAAGGAATATAGAAGAGGATGAAGGATGGGTGATGGAGGTGAGGATGGTGGAGGTGAGGATGGTGGAGGTGAGGATGGTGGAGGTGAGGATGGTGGAGGTGTGGATGGCGGAGATGAAAATGGTGGAGGTAAGAATGGTGGAGAAGAATAAGATAAACACATCATAAAAACTCCCGTAAACGTGTGTGAGGCAACATCTGGGTCCTAAAAATATGTAAATTAACAAAAAAAAACACAAAAGAAAGATGGTGGATGAGGAAGATGAGAGAGGAATATTGTGATGAAGAAATATTTTAGAAGATTGTTAGATAGGAGTAGGTGGAGGAGGAGGAGAGTGTGGGAGACAGAGGGGGGGAGGAGAAGGAGGAGAGGAAGATGAGGAAGGATGGAAGACGTTATTATTATTATTATTATTATTACTACTATGCTGCAGCTAATTTAATTTTCAGAGATTCCACCGACTACCACAACTACCACAACCACCACAACTACTACTAGCACCACCACCATTTCTACCACCAAAGTCACCCAACAGACTGGTGACGGGAACTTACCTTGGTTACCTGGCATAGGTGAGTGACTTGCTGAGATAACACTATTACCTTTTGTTTAAACTCTCTCTCTCTCTCTCTATGTTATTATTATTGTTTTTTTTCCGTCAGTATCAATGTGAGTTAACTAAATATATATATCATCACCTACAGGTAAATCACCTTAGCTTATTGCACCTGAGAGGTTTTAGGTCAGGTTAAGAGTGTTTTTATTCATTAGGTTAAAATTAAGCTGGGGATAATCTTCAGGTGATCCATTAACTACATTGAAATACAGATTTTTATATTAACATTTAATATCCACTTAGAAAAATAATAATTGCGACATGAAAAATAAAAAGCGATATAAAACAATTTATATATGTATCACGTCTCTTTTTCTCTCTTAATTCACACACACACACACACACACACACACACACACACACACATTCTCCTTTCAACCTATCCTACCATAACTCTCAATGTTCATAAATACATACAGCAAGACACGGTAAACTTCCCCTCCACAACTAAAGCTCCAATTATGCTTCTTAATCACATAAGTCAAGTTACCCACCAGCATTGCGTTTCCTACCCCCATCCCCCCATTTTCTATACACTATTCACTCCCCATTTTCTATACACTTTTCACTTCCCATTTTCTATACACTTTTCACTTCCCATTTTCTATACACTTTTCACTTCCCATTTTCTATACACTTTTCACTTCCCATTTTCTATACACTATTCACCCCCCATTTTCTATACACTATTCACTCCCCATTTTCTATACACTATTCACTTCCCATTTTCTATACACTTCACTCCCCATTTTCTATACACTATTCACTTCCCATTTTCTATACACTATTCACTTCCCATTTTCTATATACACTTCACTCCCCATTTTCTACACCCTATTCACTTCCCTGTTCTCTCAGTATACCCAACACCACCTAGGCAGACCCTTATCAGTGTTATTATATCATGTTCATCTCAACAGTGTAGCCTCCTCTTCCCCCCACCCCTCTTCACCCTCTTCTTCTCCCCCCACAGAAGATATGGTAGAAGGGTCAGGATGGTCCGGCCGACACACTCCCAGCCCCGTCGTCGCCTCTAGCAGGAATGCCGGTGAGAGTACAGTAATTAACAGTACCTACCCCCGTGTGTGTGTGTGTGTTGGTTACTTTCCTATGATGTGGTTGAAAGAAATAAGGTGAAATAGATTGAAGTATTTGGTAATGACTGTATCGAGGAATGACTGTAACAATATGTGGTGTAGTAAACTAGTCATTAAGTAGTTTGGCTGAGGGAGGGAGAGAGAGAGAGAGGACAGACTGTGTGTTGTGAAATATTTTGAGAGGAAGAAACATATTAAAGGTGACAGACGGGAAAAATATAGTCGTGGTTGTGTAGCTTGATCTTTGGTTATGGTTTGGTTAGGTTAGGTTGTTCGGATTGGGTTCTGGGTAAGGTTAGGTTAGGTTAGTGTTAGGTTAAGTTAGTGTTAGGTTAGGTTAGGTTTGGTTAGTGTTAGGTTTGGTTAGTGTTAGGTTAAGTTAGTGTTAGGTTAGGTTGAGCGACGTGGACTCTGGGTGTAAGTGGTAGCAGGAAGTTAGTTGGACGAAGATGATGTTTTATGAAGTAACATGTGAGAGGTGAGGAGAGGAAGCGAAGAATAAGAAGCTTGGAGAAAAGAAGTGATGGACCTGTCAAGTGCTTACTGAGGTGGTCATGTGAGAAGAGGATGTAAGACTGATGGTAAAAAGAGAGTGTGAGGAGGAGGGAGGGACTGGGTGAGGAATATGCTGGCTAAGAGAGGTATTAGCACCTATAAAGCAGCTTATTTCATCTGAATTTATCCACGATAACCTAACTTAGCCTAACCTAACCTAACTTGACCTAACTATAACCTAACCTAACCTCCCAGGTAGCGTTAGGGTATTTAAAAATCTTCAGGTGAAAGCGAATCATAAGGTAATCTACTAAATGTAATATTAAAATACGTAGTGCTGGGGTGATGTTTGAGGCACCTTGTTGGGGCCTTGTTGTGGAGGACGAACATCGTAAGTGTGTGTGTGTGTGTGTGTTTATGATTAATGACTGGTGAACATTTTTCTTCATCAGTTTTGGAAACACACACACACTGATTACTGTTTAGATGTTTATTTTCCTAATGTCAGGATACTGGAGTCCTTTCCTCCACACAGGCAAGAATGGCACAGCTGCTGTCAGTGTTGAGGAAGACTCGGGGGGTCAACACCAGCAACAGCGAGATCCTCAAGACTCGTGGGATAAAAATCAAGAGAGAAAAACCTACTCCTACAGCGGCACAGGTTAGTGTTGTCTACTGAATCACTGACTTACGGAATTGTGGTGATGGTAGTAAAGAATGAGTTAAATACTATTAATTAGCTTTATTTTATATGTTATTATTTTTATAGGTAGAAGTAATATTTATTGAGCAATAGATAATCTTGCTGCTAGTGTTGTCAGCCCGTCACTCAGTGGCTTACAGCGTGTCGGGGGAGTTGGCACATAAACCATTCATCAAATTTTTCTCAGTCTTTTCGTTTGGTCTTACGAGTAACAAAATATGACCTAATCCGACCAATATTGACTATATTTGTACAGTGATGTAATATAGGATGAAACTATTATATAAAAGGTCGGTTTGACTATATAATAATAGAAAGCCCTTTATATAAATCATTACATATAAAACAAAATATTACGTTACGATAATGTTATTGAAGGTATAAATGTTTTACCAGTGTTTCCTCCTACAGGAAGTGACGCCAGCAGCAGTAGTGGTGGGGGTTGGGGACCACACTCCTCCTCTCTCACCCCCCTCCTCCTCCCCCTCCTCCTCCTCACCTCTACACTCCTCCACGTTACAACCTCCTGAAATCACTGGTTGAGTTAAACGCTGGTAGCCGACGCTTGTGATATATAGAGAGAAGTTATCCGGAATATGAACCTTTACAGTATGAAACAGAAGTTATCCGGAATATGAACCTTTACAGTATGAAACAGAAGTTATCCGGAATATGAACCTTTACAGTATGAAACAGAAGTTATCCGGAATATGAACCTTTACAGTATGAAACAGAAGTTATCCGGAATCTTATTGTTCTCGGCGACTCCACTCTTAATAGCTCCTCTATAACTCAGTCAAGAGGAAGGACAACGGGATTTATTTTTACTTTTAAGGTATAAAATAATGAAAGGAAGAATCGTAATAGAATAAACGAGGGAAATAGAAAATACAAGAAAACTATAAAAAAAAAAGTTGGGTAAATGATGTGACAAATTAAGTTAGCAAAGTCACCTCCTCCTCCTCCTCCTCTTCCCTCCTCCTCTTCCTTCCTCTTCCCTCCTCCTCCTTCCTCTTCCCTCCTCCTCCTCCCTCGACTCACGCTGACTCAATAGTGTGTCTTCATGGCCGTGATTTCTAACTGACTGACTCACGTTGTTATTGACTCACTAACGGAAAGGCTGAAAAAGAAGAGAGAAAAAAGTGGAAATAAATAAACGTGTGAGGAAGATTATCAAGGATTCACTAATTCTTAATGAACTAATGGACGTCTCTAATTTATTTATGTTTTGGTTTATTTAGTGTGAAGGAGAGAACGATAACGAAGAGTTGGAACGTAAATAGAAATACATTTTGTTTTTCAAGAACCGGTGATTTTTTTTTTCAACTTGAGGAATTTTTTTTTTCAATTTAGAAGAGGAAGAAAGAACGACGAAGAGGAAGAAAGAAAACGACGAAGAGGAAGTAAGAAAACGACGAATAGGAAGAAAGAGCAACGAAGAGGAGTAACAAAACATGCATACGTGTGTGTGTGTGTGTGTGTGTGTGAAAAATAAGGAAAATCAAGACAAGGGAATAGCCAGGACTCAGAGCTTTTGGGAATGGCCGACCAGACATGATAAAGATCACAGATACAAGAACTGCCATCGAGAAAGAAGCTCTAGTGATGGGTTAAGGCTGTGTAAGTAACTCGGCCGAGGACATGAACAACACGACAAAAGACTCTCATATGGTAGCGAGAAATATATGTATATGGCATTACAATAGAGAGGGAGACATATATAAGGAAACCACATTAGCGAAAGAGACCTAACGACAAAGAACGCTCTCGGAAGGATTGAGTTTCTGAGGAGGAATATGTTCTTGGGGTGATGTAACGTGGCCATAAATTTCAAGGATACATATACAAGTGAATATATATACATACATACATACATACATACATACATACATACATACATACATACAAGAAGATACAGGTATACCGTACAGACGATACAGAAGATATAAAGAATTAGTAGTGTGTAAATTTTGACGTTTGTGAATAGTTTGGAAGCAGTGGAGGGCGGGCAGGCGTCACTTGAATATTCTTTGAACTTTTTTTATTAATTTTTTTTGTTTTAGGACCTGTGTGTTACCCGCCAGTTATATAAAGATACTATGAGTTGTGGGGGCTGCCATACCTCCTGGATATGTCTGACCTATAGGAAAGATGATCTCGAGGACGGAAATAACGAAAAGATTATGGAAATTGGACATTGTGTGTGTGGGTAGTTTTGAGCACTGTTACCGTAATGTAATTCACCTGGTGGTCAGAGGTTCAATCCTATTAGACCATCCAACCTAACCTAACCATTAGGAATTGGGGCCTAATACTAAGGGGTTATTGTTTTTTTTTGTCTATTTTCTAATTTCATTGTATCTAGTGTTCATTAAATCACGTGTGTCTGTGTAGTTTAATATTGAAGTGAGGAAAGGTAAACTACTGAGAGCATTACGCGCCTGGCAGAGAAACAAGCTACAAGCTACTACAAAAGACAGAGAAAGGGACATATATATTTATTTTTTGTGAGACATTAGGGGAGGCACCTTGGCTGTACCTGCTTCACCTGGCACTGTTCCCTCCAGCGATGTGGCACTCGTGATCACATCAACCGTTCAGTAAGCTTTAGCAACTTTATACATGTTAAGAAAAATAATGAAAGTGTTATGTTATATAAAGACGTCTAATGAAGCATGAAAATAACATGACGTTTAATAGTGAATAATAAGTGAAATGCACTTATAGTTGGTCTCAAGGAGTGGAAGGTGAGGTTATAAGTGAATGAATTGATAATTTCAAGAGAAACAACAGTGGCCCAAAGGCCAACCTTGGACTTGCAGGACGCCGGCCACAGTGACTTTAATTAGCACGAGGACGATACTTGCAATTATGTCTTGTGATCTATAGTTAATTTGTGACGGCCATTCACTCATCTGAGAATGATAAATGTGCACACGTTCAAAAAAGTTTCTGTGTATATTTCACGCGAAACAATCTGACATCACTGACGATGGATATTGCAAAATGCCATATATCACTTGCTAGTGCTGTTTCCTGTTTTATCCATAGTATGTAATGTTATTATTATGCACATTCAGAAGAAAATGTGTAGAGTGGCTCATGTTGGTGGTTACGTTTTGGTATTGAGGAAATCGTGGAACCTAATATGCACAGATACTTTTATGATGTTATATATTATGTTCAGTGTCAACGATATATGAAGGTCCTGTAAGAAAGTGTTGTTACTCGATATATCATATAATATAACGTCTCTGTTAACCGTTATTCATGAGACATAAGAATGACCTTCACACATCTCTAGGGTGTGTTGTGCTGTACCTAAATGTTAACTTGGTATTGTCATACAAAATCTGTTCATATGCTGTTAACTCTTTTAAAGGGAGATTTTTGTGTTAGATATACAATGGAGAAAAGGAAGTGTGTGTGTGTGTGTGTGTGGCGAGAAGTATCGGGGAGGGTGAAACTACAGGCTAGTTTCTTTACGCTATTCGCCTCTGTCTATCTCACAGTTATTAAGAACCTAGATGTTAATCGATTTCCGGATCGTATTCCGGGAATAATGGTTAGCCAGTGCAGTTGGCGAGTTGTCCGGTCTTCTTGGACTTTTCCGTGACATTGCATCCTACAGTTCGTTGTTTTGGGGACAGCTACTTCACCTTGAACAGATTCATGCGTGGGTGGCCCTAGTGCCGGCAACCATTAATTGTTTATATACAGTATATGTATAATGTGTGTACATATTTAGTGTTGTTATATTGATGAGAAAGAGAGAAATAATTATATATGGACGCCATGGGGCCTTATTTTGGTACACTCGACAAGTAGTTATAGAAAGTAGAGTCAGAGGCTTAATGCTATAATGGGGTGTTGTGGTGTAGTATAGCGGTTCAGTGAGGATGATAGTTGAAGTGGATGATTATGGTTTAATTCTCTGATGATGATGATGGTATAACCCCTTGAGGATCATACTTTTAACTCCTTTATTATGGCGGTTTAACCATTTGAGTATGATAGTTTAACCCCTTAAAGTTGACTGTTTAACCCCATGAGATTAATGTTTTAATATTTTGAGTATGGTGATTTAACTCTTCGAGGATGATGGTTTAACCCCTTGACTATGGTGGTTTAAACCCTTGAGAATGGTTACTGAGAGGTATAAGACGCAGGAAACAGCTGTGTGAGTGAGTTTTAGCAGGTAAAGTTTCCGTATGGTGGACTATTAACCAAGTACTGTAGGTGTCTTGGAGAGTGTGTGGTGCTGGCATTATCGAGTGTACGTTAAGCTAATAGAGTATTAATCTTAAAGTACACACACCCACGTTAACTGTTGACAGGTGAGTGGTTGGTGATAACTCTTGACAGTTTACCATCCGGTCTGGCCTTGCCCAGTCTGGTAATAGCCAAGATGTATTTTGTTTATTAATTTTGTTTCCACGAACAATTATTATTATTAATGTTATAATTATTATTATTATTATTATTATTATTATTATTATTATTATTAGTAGTAGTAGTAGTAGTAGTAGTAGTAAGTATTATTATTACCCCAAATACTGCTAAAAATTAATCCAAGTCTTGCTTGAATTTCCTGACACATTACCTGAGAGGAATTGAATCGGAATGATATAACACGATTCGAAATGGATTGAATCTGACCAAAATAGCCAGAGTCGAACGGAAACGTATTGAACTGAACCGAAATGAGACGAAACGAACCGAAAAAAGCGATTACTATTAAATCTTCAATTGACTCCCTGTTGGTCAATGCTTGCACATGAAATAATCTTACCTGCGTTATGTGGCTCCCAGGTATTCCCCAGGTATCACCAGGTATTTTACGGAATAAGTCTTCACCTACCAACCAACCTGTTATTATTCCCAGCCGCCCAGGAGATAAACATTCACTCAACATCAGTTTTTTGTGTGTCTGTGAATGTTCGTGTTGA